CAACAAATATACAAATGTAGTTGACACAATGGATGTATGTGTAGATTATGATAAGAGTTTTACGAGCCCCCAATAAAATGATTAAAGAAAAAGAAAATGGAGGGTGACCACATCAGGTCACAACATGGCAGGTGAGTACGTCATGACATAGCTGCCAAACCACTGAGAATCACGGTCTGGTTAAGCGGCAGACATATAATCTTACCCAAGACTGTTAATGTTACGTTCACCCCACATCTAAGCGTTTGTCATTGCAAGATGTAAAATCATTATGGCACAAAGTACTTGGATAGTATATTTTTCAGTATTGTTATAAATGCAAAATGTCATGGGATAGTAAGTGATGAGGAGGGATAAGTTATTTTGAAAAAGAAGAAGAAATGATGTTTCTTAAAAGGGACAACTTCCAAGCCAAGATTACCTTTCATATTTCTTTACATTTATCACTCGGCACAGTTTATAATGGTTTGTTTAATGTCTCTCTCTATTATGGCTTCAAGCACACAGACGTTCCCCCCTTTGTTTCCTGTGGGATCCTCAGTATCTGACAGATAGGAAGCACTTGATAAAGCGTTCACTAACTGCTGAGGGGCCCTGGGAGTACTTTCAGGCAGGCTAACCGTGTGATCAGTGGTTCAAACCCCACCTTCTGCTCCGCAGGTCAATGATGACGCTGTCTGCTCCCATAAGGAGTTACAGCCTATCAAGGACCGCGATGAGGAGCTCTCAACCTGAGGTGGTGCATTTGCTGACTACTGAATAAGTGAAATGGAAGTCTCTGGTCTGGCCACTCGGGTCTTACACTTGCAAAGAGCCAGAAAGCGGCTCCAGCACCATCAGCCTTTGCTTCAGTAATAAAATGAAGTAACATTTATTCCGAGACAGACTCTCCCACACACAGAGCACACAAAACTGTGTTGTGGTGACACAGCGATCTCATGAGCTCTCCATAAGGATGCAGAGGACCACAACTGTTCCCATTTTTCAGATAAGCCTTGTGTCTAAAACTAAGCTTCAATGTTACTTATTCAAGGCCCCACCATGGGCAAGGCAGTCAAGCTGGAATTTTAAGCCAGAATTGTTTTGTTTTTGTTTTCTGGTTTAACCACCTCATCACACAGCCTCCTATCAAACTGGCCTATGGCCTTGAGTCAGGCCTGAATCAGAAACAGAATCTCCTTGCAAATGAGGGAGAGAGAACCCACGTTCCAGGTTACCTCATCTGCCTCGCCCTTCATACAGTGAGCCAAGAGGACGTCTTTGTGTTCCAGCTCCCGCTCTAGATGCTCCTGCAAGATCAAGTCCAATCAGAAAAAGGATTTCTTTGGGCCAAAGGGTCAGGAGCTGGCTATGTTCACACCTGCTGGTAACTGGCCTCAGAGAGTTTCCGAAGTGCTTCTTCCAGCTTGGCCTGGTGCTGCTGAAGGAGGCGATCCTTCTGCCCCAGCTCTCTCTGCAACCAAGATAGAACTTTGAGATGTGTGTAAGGTGACCAGACGCCCTGCTTTGGGTGGGACAGTCTCGATTTTTAACAATTTGTCCCGTGTCCCACAGTGTTTTAAAAAGTCCCGATTTTTGGAGAGAATGCACGACAAGCTAGGGTATATGGTTTTCGGCTGTCCACTTTACCAGTGTTAAAATCTTGTCACTTTAGATATGTGGCAAGTACAGGCACACTGAAAAGTTCACCCTGTGAGATGAAATTTCCACCTGAGTAAAGTGGAGCCTCAGTCCTTTCCTCCAGCTCCAACAGGAAGACTACATACCAAACCAGTCTGACACAGCTCAAAGGTTTCTTGTAAGGGGAAGGAGGAGGGGAGCTGTCATTTGTAGGGGGGCCGCTATGTGCCATCCAGGCTAATTAGAGATAAAGTAAGTCCAGAATTGAAAGAAAAGGGGGGGGGGGGGACAAACAAATGAAGGGTTTAACAGGATATTGTTTATTTCATTTTTTGAGATGGGCTGGGTAATATGTATAGTATGTTTTGAAAAAATCCCTAGAGATTCCCTATCCCTCATACCTACGTAAATAGTGGTTTAAGTGGCTTTAAAAGAAAAAGAGGAGGAAAATTGAAATGGCCTTGGAGTCTTCAGTGATAAACACTCATCTCAAACAAACAAAAAAGACTAGACGTTTCCAGGCTCCTACTTCTGTAGCCCTTCGCCTTGCATGTGTTACCTATGAACCAAGGGCACATAGAGAAAAATGTACTCGAAGAAAGCAGAGAACAGGGTCTGTAATTAAATGCCCTGGGCACAACAGTCAAGCTGCTCATCAAAGGCCAGACAGAAATGACTTCCAGTTAGATGCGTGTTCTTACTTTATATTCTCCCACAAGCTGGTTCCTCTCATCCAGCTTCCTCTGCAAATCCACCTGCCAAGAAGGGTAAGAAAATGTTCACTCACACAGATGTACTGTCTGTCAACCCCATTAGCAAACCAGCTACGCAGTATCCACAATGGATATTAGCACAGAGAGGGCATAGTTAGGTACAAACACCGTTTTTCGCCATGTCTTCCTCAGTAAAATTATCAGATTGCAGACCAATCTGACGGTAGAAATACAAATTAGCCTCTGCTTCGCGGTGTCCTCAGAATTAAGGAAACCCTTCCTGTCCCGTCTGGCTGGGGATTTCCCATAGGCGTGGGAACGAGCCTGATGGGCATGAGGCTAATGAGAGAGCAAACATCCAGAAGTGAAGTCAGAGAGCGTAGGACGGTGGCTCTAGCAGGACTTCACGCACTGTCCTGTTCTGAGTTGGGGGCTCGGTGAGGCGACTGTTCACTCAGCTCACATTCTGGTTGTGCAGCTCATCTTTGTCCATAGTTGCCCTCAGGAGTTCTTGTTTGAGCTGAAGCACAGATGTGTCCTGCTGAGTCAGTCTCTGCTGCAAGGCATCCTGGTGGGGGTGGGGGGGAAAGCTCACCAATTACTTCAGTCCCAGGTAATCAACCAGCCAGTCATTACTGAAACGTATTAAACCCGTAAGTGTGTATTCAGCATTTGTTTGGTCAAACTGGAGTGTAAAGGTCTTGCCACTGAAAAGAAGCAAGGATTTTTGTTGTTGTTGTTCTTGTCCAGGGCACTAGCATTTAAAGAAAAATCCTACCCATTGTCCTATATCAAACGGAATGAAACCCATTTCTTAATGTTTACCTCCACTTCATTCCTAACACAGTCTACTCTTGGTTTCCTTCCTAAACAGCATGGTATGCTAGAGGGAAACGTAGTGGCCTTTGGGATCACACAGGCTCACATTCAAATGACAAGTTTACCACTTACTACTTTGTACAATGCCCTATACTCCTTCCTCCCACCTTGGCTCTCATCTGTAGCTGGGCATTTAGATCTTCGATTTCTGTTAGCTTGTTCCCCATATCCTGGAGACTAAGCCCCATCCCTGCCTGCCCACTCAGTTCACAGAGAATCCCTGTGATCATGGCTCCCTATCTTCCAGAGCCCCGCTGCGGCCCTACTCTGCTGCCTTCCATGCATAGTCTGGACCAGGATTGGGATTATAGAGTTCCACTCATAATTGTTCTTGGACTAATGGTTCCAATTTCCTGGGCTCTTACCAGTTTTAGGTTATCTTCTTTCCAGCTGGGACCCTCTTGGTTCCCAATATGCCTAAGAAGAAGTGAGCCATGGATACTTGTGAGAGTCAGTTTCTACACATTCTTTGAACCCTGGGAGCTTACAGGCAGCTGGTGGTCTTGAGATACTTCTTTCTGTTTCTAGTGTATTACCCATGACTTTTCTCTCTACAGACTACAGAGAACACATGCAGGTGCTGAAACTGTGGGAGCTCACTCTCAAATATGCTGCCTACCCTGACAGTGCAAGGATACTGTAAGATGTCCCTCACATCCGAAGTTCAGAACAATGTTTTCTAAAATGTGCTCCATGGGACGTTATTGTTCACTGCAGATCATGAGAAACTTCGAGGGCATTCCTCAGGCTTCTCTGAGCGTGGAACACATATTCTTTGTTTAAGTATCAAGTACCTCAAAGGCTAAGGCTGTAGAATACACTTTGGAAAATGCTGTTTGTTAAAACTCTTGTCTAACCCACCAATGGGTGTGGAGGGAAAAGGGAAAAGACAGCATTTTAAGAATATCCTCTTCAATTTCTGGGTATTTCTTCAACAGATATATACTCCAGCTTGGGGGGGGCGGGGGGCGGGCAGGGGAACAGCATCAAGTTCTATCGGTAAGTGTTGGGCTGCTAACTGTAAGATTGGCAGTTCCAGTGCAGCAGCTGATCCCCAGGAGAATGACAGGGGAATCAACTCAATGACAGTGAGTCAGTTACCTAAGGTTATTAGCTGGATCACTGTTTATATGTGCTAATAAAAAATCAAGGTGCCAATGAGTGTATGTACCGGTAATCATGCTACTATTTGGGTAAAAAAAAAAGCAGCCCTGGTAGCACAGTGGATTAAAAATTGGGCAGCTAGCCACAGGTTTGATGGTTCTGACCTTCCAGCCGCTCCCTGGTAGAAAGATGAGGGGGTCCGCTCCCATAAAGATTACAGTCTCAGGAGCCCTAAAGAGTTATACTCTGTCGTATGTGAACTGACTTGATGAAAGTGGGTATTTGGGGGTAGGGGTAAAAATGTGGGAAGAAATTATGTAGATTTGTTGATAATATGATCATGTAAGCTGCCTCCACAAAAGAGAACTAGGCTGGCTAGGGGACAGAGCTGAAAAGGAGTTTGCCTTTAGAGTTTGCTCTCTAAGACATCTGCATATTACTGACTTCTCTAAAACTAAGCAAATCACTATTTTTGAAAAATGACTTTCTGCCCTAGAACTGAAAGGAAGCATTTTACACTCTAAGAGACAGCCAAGGTGGCTCGGAGGGAAGCCACAGCACGGTGAGACATAGCCACCAGTGCGAAGCAACCCTTTCCAGACCTTTTCTTTACCAACGGCCCAGAGCTGGGAAGGCACCTGCCACATCGACACAAGAAAAGATGACAGGTGCCAACTCTGCGCCTAGCACCCACTCTTACCAGGAGATGACTTTACTTCAGAGAGACTTCACTTAAAGAACAAAATGTCGGATTATGATGGGAGTTGTACAAGCCCCCAATAAAATGGTTAAAAACAAAAAAGAGCAAAATGTCTTCTTTTTACCTTAATCCCCTGCAAGTTCCTTGCTTCTTGTTTACATTTCAGCAGCTCCTTCTGCAAACCAAATATAGTTAGATCAGATGGTAGCATCTGGGTTGCTTCAGCAGCATTACCTCATTCTGTCTGGAAGAGGACAATACCCAGCTATGAAAAATTACTTGTCTATGGAGACACAAAGCAGGTTTGACCCAGCAAGTGGTCCAGCTGGCCCACGGAGACATCAACGAGACCCATGTGACACTCCTCCCTGTGACATGCAGGCTGCATCCCACCCAGGTCAAGGAGAGGCTCATCAAGAAACAAGGTATTGTACATCCCCATAGACTCTTTCCTTAACAAAAAAGTCTATCCTAATTTAAAGCACTCTCACTACAATGTAGAATCAAACCTTTGTATGTCTGACCCCAACATCACTGAACAATGATCTCAGTACTTAAGGTTTAACCAAGGGTCAGAGTGCTGTTGATTTCTCCAGAGTATATTGTTCTTTGTGGACCAAACAAAAGCATCACAGCTACCCTATGACTTGATAGCAGTGAATTTGAGTTAGAAGAGATGAAGTAGCCCTAGTGCTGCTGTTAACAGGTAAGTGTCAGACTGCACACTGCCAAGTCTGTGGTTCAAACCTGCCAGCTTCTACATGGGAGATGAGGCTATCTGTACTTTTAAAAGATTTACAATCCTAAAAACCCAATATAGAGCTATTATGCATTAGAATTGACTTGAAGACAGTGGGTTAGGTTGGTTTGAAAGGAAGGCTAGGGAAAAATTGGAGGCAGGGGAAGACACTGAGAAGTTACAAGAGTTAGGCAACAGGCTAATACTCTTATAAACACCATCTGGCAATAGTGGTGATCTATGATTAGATGCTTGGATAGACAGGTGGGAAGGAGAGTGGAAGTATACCCATGAATATGTTTGACAGAAGATATTTGTCCATGTGTATTTACCTTTGCTGCAAATAACCACGAACATGGTAGAGCATACAAGCTCAAAGTTATGAAGAATGCTCACACATAACCAAACACCCAGAGAATAAATTGCTGGGCCAAGGGGATCAGGACCATAGTCTTTGAGGACACTAAGGTCAATTAGTATAACACATTTTCACAAAGACACCCTACTTTGGTGAGTAGCAACTGGGGTCTTAAAAACTTGTGAGCAGTCAACTAAGGTACCAATATTCGTCTCTCTCTTTGATAGGTAGGTTTATTGTGCCAACCTGGCCAATAGGAACATGTTCGGTTGGTCGCAGTTTGATTGGAGGGCAAAGAGATAAAAGAGATAAATAGCTTGGCAACCCCTGCCTCTCTCTCTTTTGCTCTCTGGTGATCAGCCCAGCATGTGTCTGCTTTAGCTAGTTCTCTGCCTCAAACTTGGGTGCTTCACTACCTGTGGGACACCCAACCCGTGGATCATCGCTAGAGCTTGAGGTTTCTTCGAGACCAGCTTCGCCACGCTGCTGGTGTATACATCACTTGAGCTTGGGACTGTCTGATCCTGTCATCGGGATGACTGTTGGTGACCCACCCTGCTGTTTGCTGCCTGTGGCCAGACTGCCTGCATTGCTCTACGGATAACTCAGCTGTCTGCTTCCTTGACCTTGGACTCAGCAGGCCTCGTGAGTGAAGGACTTCTAGTATATTAACTGTCCCATGGAAGTGAGTTGAACTGAGCCCTCTGTACTGCTGTGTGGACTAATTATCTGTTATATTCCTTCATGCTGTATATATCCATATATATAAAACCAGGACACTTAGGAATGTATACATATCCATATATAAAATCCTAAGTGTACTAGTTTTGTTTCTCTAAAGAACCCTAACACATCCTCCATCCAAAGGAAAAAAAGTGAAGAAAACTGAAAGGCATGTGCATACAACTAGACTAATGGACCATGCAACATCAGTCTCCACAAACCTGAGACCAGATGATGCCCCGCTAGCACTACCAACTGCTCTGAAAAGGATCACATTTGAAGGTCTTGGGTACAGAGTGCACAAAATGTGGACCAGAACTCACCATCATAAGAGACCAGCCTATTGGTTAGACAGATACCAGTGGGAGTTCCAAGATTATGGCGTTTAGAAACCCTTCAGATCCAGAACTGAAGTCACCCTTGTGTTAGAATAATCAGTCATTAAGATCAAAGGATTGCATTTACCAAAGGACAAGAGAGTCAGGGAAGAGGAAGAAAGGGAACTAGGAAATACTGGGATGAGGATGCTGAGGGTTTTGAAGTGGATGAGTTGAAACAAAACTGTATAGATTATTGGACATAAGAGTGATGTTCTGCAATGGATGTGTGTATGGATTGTGATAAGAGTTGTACGAGCCCCCAATAAAATGTTTTGTTTTTTTAAAGTGACATTCTGCTCTGTAAACTTTCACCAAAATCATAATTTCAAGATTATTTTTTTTAAGCACTTGATCCTTTTACAACTGCTGTTTTTTGTTTTGCAGTTTAGGAACTTTATTCTGGATCAGAATGACACAAACAATCCTCTCAATGGGCCCTCAAACATCCAGGAACTAGTTTTGCCTTTCCTTTGGAGATCTGGAGGAGCTTCCTGCCTGAGGTGGGATAGACCCAAAAGAAGAGTCAAAAAACCAAACCAAACTTACTGCCATTTTGTCATTTCCAACTCATGGTGACCCTACAGGACAGGCTAGAACTGCCTCTGTGGGTTTCCAGGACTGTAAGTATTTTTTCACAATTTTATTGCAATATCACCCACAAACCATATAGTTCAACACTTCAGTCCTAGTAAGAAGAGTTGTACAATCAGCAGCACAATAAGTTTTAGGACATTTTCTTTCTTCTTTTTAAAAAAAATCATTTTACTGGGGCTCCTACAACTCTTATCACAATGCACACATACATTAATTGTGTCAAGCACATTTGCACACGCATTGCCCTCATCATTCTCGGAACATTTGCTCTACGACTGCGGTTTTTTGTGAAGCAGCATTCCCATCAACCTGTGGCGAAGCTTCGCTGCTTTGGAAAGGTGCCCACTTGAGTTCTGATGTAAATTGACATTAGCCCTGATCTCAATCACTTATTTCCCTGACAAAAAAGCATAGATTTTTAAAGCACTCTCACTGAATTAAGAGAAGTGTATGACTGAGAGAATCTGTCTGTAACCAGCCACTGATTGCACAGACATGTTCAAACACTGTTTTTAGGAGTTAACCTGTGCCTATATGAACCAGACTCTAAGTGGTAATACTTTGTCATTTACTCTGGTATGTGTACCTGGTTCCACCAGGAAAGCATTGTTAGGCGAAGCGCACCCACCCATCACACACACCTGCTCTCCTCCGACTGCATCACACCAAGAGTCCACAGCTAACATGTGTAAAATTGGACTACTTAACTTGGACAATATAAAAGGGCTCAAAAGTTCCTCATTTAAAGTTCTAATCTATGAGCACACACATGCCTGTTTCTAGGGAAAGGGTGAATAGCTTTAGTCATATACCAATGACCCAAAAGAAGTGCAGACCCCCCACAATTGGGGAATGTATTCATTAGAAAAGAATAATATTGATATTAAATTCATTTTTAAAAATTTTTACTTAAACTATGAAGCATTTCAAACATTAAAAAAACAACAAAAAACATTAAAAATAAAAAAGAACAAACCAATACTGATACAGACACCTACACTCATAACCAAGATCAAAAATGGAACTATCACATTGCCATATTTAGGACAGATTACTCTCTTCAGAAGGGACTGCATAGGTAGCTAATAATGTAAATAAAGTGCCTGGCATCTTTGTAGGGGGTGGGACCATGCAAATAAGGTATATGGAACCTTAATTAGGGGATTGGTCAGTTTTGCTGAGCCATGGAGCTAGAGCTGAAAGTGCTTTGGCTTAATGGTAGGGGGGTACCTCTGGGAGCAGACAGAACTAAAAGTTCTGGAACATTTTCCCAAGTAGGGTACAAGCCAGGTCCAGTGGCCAAGGGCCAGAGAGAAGCCCACGTGGGCATGGCTGAGGAGCGACTGTGCTGTTCAAAGAACTCTATTCTGAGTGCTCCTAGACCTGAATTGAAAACTAGTACCGCCCTAATAAACCCCAA